AAAAAAAAAAAAAAAAAAAAGATAGGCATTTTAGGAGGGAGGATGCGGGGATGGTTTCTTGTAGCCATTTCAGATGGGGCTTAAAAGATGGATATGACTGTTCAATGGTCCCTCTTTCTCACCTTTAATTAATTTCAAAATCAAGGCAAGCACTTCTACCATCTGCATTTTGAATTTATTGCCTCCTCTCTATTAGTCTTACCATTGTCCTATCATGAGTCTTGTTATCTCTCTCCCGTACTATTGCAGTGGCCAACCTGTCTCTTGGTCCTATTCTCTTGCCACTCTAACCCAGTGTTCATGTTACATCAAGGAATCTTTCTAAAATAGAGTCTGATCATGGCCCTTTTGTCATTCAAAACCTTCAGTTGTCCCTCATTGCTTGCACTGAAGATCATTTACCCACTAATGCAGTGGTTAAGAACTTGAGCCCTAGGCCAGACTTACTGGGACGGGATCCTGGCTGTACTATTTACCAGCTGTGTGATGTGAGGCACATCATTTTATTACTCTAAATCTCAGTCTCCTCATCTATAAAATGGGGATAATAATGTTTACACAATGTTGTTATGTGGATAAAAATATATGAAGTATGAAGAGCAAGTATCAAGTACCTAGCAGATAGTATACATTGAATTAATAATAACCATTATCTCCATAAAATACTCCAGAGATCAAGATGGACTCTATAAATAACCTGCTGTTGTTACTTAATTAAGAATTTTTGAGAGTTGATTATGTGGCTAAGTAATTGAATTTTGATGTTCTCCATTCTTCCCTTGAGTAGGCAGCTAAGGATTATAACTGGTGAATGGTTTTTTGAAGAAAAGGCAAAACGTTTTAAGCAAGTCAATGTTCTGGGCACTGATGTTGTCCGGCAATCCATCTTAAGAAGAAGTCCAGGTAATTAAAGCAATTATTGGGTTTTAAAACTGTTTTAATCTCCATTTTGGCTGGCTAAATAAGTTCCCTATGTTATGTAGCAAATGAGCACAATTGAATTTCCCGAATCCCTTAGGTCATTTCACGACATGGTAGCATAAAATCTAAATCTGCAATTCATACAAGGGAAGAGCAGGTCAGTGGAAAACAAAATTGACAGTGATTTTCCATATATCTGACACACTGAGATTTTCAAAGAAACCATGTATCGTCGTAACAGACAGTTCTTTTCCTAAATGCACTTCCAATATTTTAATAAATGTTTAAGAAAGTAACATAAAACAGGTGAATTAAATGATTCACATTGTGAAAGCAATTGTTGATTTTTCAACAGGATTCATTTCATATTTATTTTTTTTTATTTCAGAATATTACAGCGGTACAAATGTTTAGGTTACATATATTGCCTTTGTCCTGCCCAAGTCAGAGCTACAAGCATGCCCATCCCCCAGACAGTGCACACTGCATCCATTAGGTGTGAATATACCAGCCCTGTATGTAAATCCCCCTCCCTCCTGCTTTTAAATAGTACTTTTTCTAATCCGGTGGTTCTCAACCAAGAGTTGATATTGTGCACTATGCCCCCCCTTACCCAAAACAGGAGCAGTTGGAAATGCGAAGGGGCATTTCTCATTGCCACAATGACTTGAGGTGAGTAAGTGGCATTTAGTGGGTAGGAGCCAGAGATGTTAAATGACCTGAAATACATAGGACACTCATTCATTCACTGGCACCAAATGCAAATAACACCCCACTTGGAGAATGCTTTTCAGTGCATTCAAACTACAATTTAATTGGTTAAACTTTTTTCCTGTACCCTCTGACAGCAAATAATTGGTTAAATATTGTGTGAAACTTGTGTTTGGGAGCATGTTTCTCATGTATGGTGTAGTAAAAATGGAACAGGCATCTTTTGACCTGTTCTTAGGGTGTCTCATCTTTTCTACACAGTAGACAATTGCTCTTGTTTTAAGTCTGGCAGGTAAGGCTAGGAAGCTTGGAACTGATTCCAGTCCTGCTTCTGAATGTAGCACTAACCAGGAAAGGCTTTTCCAGATAGGTAACATCAGGTATGATGCCACAAAGGAATGGGATGGAGTAGAGTTAGAATTAAGCAGTCAGCTATGGCTTCTCCCTCCACTCAAACCTCAATGCCTTCCAGGGTATAAACTGTTTCTAAAGTCACAAGGTACATACATAGGTGCCTGCTCTCCCAGGAAGTCTGGTTTATATGTTCAAAAATCAGGATATCATTTCTATAACTTCATACTACAACTCAGTCTCTAGAGATTTGGAGTTCTCATGAGGCCAGCTTACCCTGCCCTAAAAATATCGTAGAGAAATGATGAATTCATTCCTCCATTACAGTCATCCCTGGAAAGCTTATCTCAGCAAACCTTCTGCAAATGAGTTCTGGATCTTAGTCCTCAGTTAACTGTGGAACACTCAACAAATTAGAAATAACTGTGTGACTGGAAAACTTGGGATGGAAATAGCATTGCCAATTATTATAGACTTCTTGGTCCTGAGCTAATCTAAGAAAGTGAATGCAGAATTGAAATTTACTCTCATTTTTGGCCATTTTGTATGTAAATCTGTCTTCTGATTGTTTTTAATGAGGAACTGAGGAAGTACAAAGCCAAGAGCAAACCTGCCAGGACGCGGAAAAGTCAAACACTTCACCTTCTCCTGGGCAGAAGGCCAGCCATGATGGGCCCAAGAGAAAGGGGTAAGACAAACCTTTCCAAGAGAATTTTTGAGATTTATTCCAGACACCTCTAAAATAAAGACTCCTTAGTTTTTCAAATCTGATTTCACTTCGGTGACCAAGAGGAGGCCAGAGACTCAACCAAGGTAACACTTTCTTATCATTCTCCTTAGGAAATGCAGTTTTAATTACCTTCAATCGGTAAATAAAAGTCCCCTCTGATCTGAGCACATAAGAGTTTTCCTTTCATTTTACATATCTGGTCTCGTACATGTATGGCTCCCATTACTTATAAGTAGAAGGTTTCATGTCAGGGCCAGTCTTGTCTATAAGGAGGTGACAATTGCCTTTGTTGTAGAGTGTCAGTACCCCTCCCCTCCAACACTTGTGTGGATATATAAAATATCCAAATTAATGATTTCTTAATTGAACTTAAAGCATCAAGTCCCCTGTTTAAAATTCAGACTTCCTTAAGGGAAAAAAATCACATTTGGCCGCCTCAATAACTTAATTCAGTGAGCAAATATATGTGTCAAGTACTGTGAGTAGGAATGGGAGGTACACACATGGGGAACCAGATGTAAGACAGCCCTGGGAAACTGAGGGCAGCAGAGTTCTATCAAGGGAGAAAAGTGGCCCCCAAAACACAGGCTACGAAGATCAAAAGGCAAACTGCTGCTTCACAGCCTTGCATTTTGCAGCTTTTGCTTCTCAGGCAGCTATTGGCCAGTTTTTGTGGCTGAGGTAGCGAGAGTTCTAAAATGCACCACGTCACCTGATGCACTGCTTTGTTCTCTCAGCAGAAGGCAACGTGAGAGGGTGCCAATGTCTGAGCCTTTATCTGGCTCTACAAAAAGTCTAGAGTTCTTCTAGAGTCCTCAACTGTGAGTGGGAATGAAACCTAAATGTCCTCTAACTCAAGAACTCATGAGAAATCATGTCTTCATTAATTAGCAGACATGAACAGGAAAGATAGCCTACAGTGTCCTATGTATCCTATCCTATGTATTGATCCTTCCTACCATATTGAATCCATTTATCACTCCTCAGGTCTCCCACAATGCCTTGTGCCTGTGCATGATGGGTCACATTGCACTCTATGCCCCCCCCACACATTTCACTGGAAGCTCCTTTAGTGCTGGACCAGTGGCTTCTTTGCTTTCGTGTTGCAGTATCTAGCATGGTGCCTGACTCATCAAAAACAATTAATGGCTTGATTGAATAAGTAACTCAGAGCCCACACATGCCTCAAGGAGCTGTAGTTTGAAGACCCCAGCCCAGGCATCACAGAGTAGGGTACAAAAGAGTGGGCTTGGGGTTGGGAGACAACAACTAACTCACCAGCACAATGCATCATACAAATCCTGAACCATTCAAGCTGTCATAGCATTAGGCTGAGCCCTGCTGGATCTCAAAATTGGGATCTGATGGTTTTCAGTCTTCAAGGAATATAACATCTAGCTGGGGAGAAAAGGTACATACCTGAAAAGTAAATAAATATAAAAGAATTACAGGAAAATATAAGATGGCAATATGAACTGCCTGAAAACCTTTCTAAAACAAGGCGGGGTGTTAATTAACCAGAAGAGATGTCGTAAGGCAATAAATGATTAAGTATTAAATGAGTGGCTAGATAAGAAATGTTAGTTGGGCACAGGAGCCATCCAGAAAGACATCAAATTATAAATGGGCTTGACGAGGAGCTTGAAAGGTGTATGGGGTTCAGGATAGCAAAAGGGAGGAAGAGTGATTTCAGGCAGAGGAGACACTTTAAGTAGAGGTACAGACGTGGGGACACGCATGAGGTGGTTCTCAGAGCAGCATAGATTGACATTATATTAAGTGCAATTCTCACCAAAAAAGTGTAATTTTCCAGTAGATTGAAGCTTCTGACACTTTGATAATGACACTCTTCCAGGGGTCTTTGAAACAGAGACAACTTGGCAGATTCTATTAAGATTGTGCCAGTATCTTTTGAATCCATTTTTTCCTCTAGAAAACTATAGAATATAAAATACATGAACTGTTCTCTCCCAATGTCATCACCAAAAAAAAAATATATATATATGTATAGCTTTGTTGTCATTTTTTTATTTTGTTTTGTTTTTAATTAAAGTGAGCTTGGAAACACCCATGTTCCTGGCACTCAGTATCCCAGATCAGGACTTTAATCTAGATTCCTGAAAAGCTGTTTTTGCTTAAGTTCCAAATAATTTAGTGAAGTGGGAATTCAATCAGATTTCATCCAACATGTGGCACCGCACTGTTCAAACTTCATTACCACAGGGAGAAATGTCATGGAAGATATAAAGATGGCTTCCACTACATGCGTTTAATCATTCATTCCGCAAGTGTTGGTTGGGTTCTAGTATGAGCCAGGCATCATTCTAGGCTCGAAGGACCTGACAGGGAACTAGAAAGGCAGAGTCACTGCTCTCATGGAGCCGCAGTCTAATAAGAGGCTACCTTAGTTTGTCCCAGAGGATCATCCTAGCTTCCCTCTATAAGCAAGGTGAGTTTGAGCTCCCTTTTCTCAGTATCCCTGCAAACAGGCCCAGCCCAGGCAATGTTTCTCCGTTCTCAAATGATAGTGGTGAGTTCCCAAACTAGGTGGTCTTTTGCTTAGCAGGGACAGAGGCCTGCCTTACCAGCAAGTGATATGGTCTTCGGAGAATGTCATAACCTCCTCCATTACTCCCCTTGACACTATACTGCATAGGCACTGGAAACTCCCCAGAACCTCTTGGCCCCAAGACTATTTTCTTGAAGAATCCTTTATTGTTGAAAGTACTAGCAACTGTATTCTTGAAATATTTTTAATGCTTTCTCTTTTTATCTTACTGTAAAATATATATGTATACATATACATACATATATACATACAATTTCAGATTTCTTCTTAGCAAGTTCAGATCAGCAACCAGAGGAGAAATCATAACTCCAAAAACTGAAAGTGGACGGAGCTACAGTTTGGACTTAGACAGCCAAAATTTTCGGAGTTTAAAGTCAGCCCCCGCTTCAGACAGGTAAGAGGCATACAAATTGGGCAATGATATAGCCTGAGGATAAAGTTGATACATTCCCATCCAAAGAGGGCTTCTGGGGTATCTATAAAGTATTACCACTTGGAGAACTCCTAACGCATAGTATGAAAAGTTAGGAGGCTATTTTTTAGTTGAGATGGAAAGCACTTACCCTCCTTCTGGAATTGCAGCTATTGGAATTGTCTGTGTCACCTGCAGGGATGAGACTTTATGTTTTAGCACTTTGGGCTGCAATTCAAATGGAGATGTACAAAGCTAGCAAATTGTTTTCATTGATTTATTAATCTTTTTCTGTTAAAGCTTCTAAAAAAGAAACCTCAAAATGTCATATACATTCTTTTCAGCTTTAAAAACATATTAATAATTTCATCATTTGAATTGCATCAGAGAATTTTCCATAAATTTCATGTTCTTCTAGTTCCACCTCCTTTGATTGGTTATCAGTGGGGCCAAGTGAGAATCTCCTATGCACGAAACTATTACTTCTCAAGAGAAGTAAAGAGAAATAAAAAGGTTAGCCAAGAGCATAAGTCTTTTCATATCAGGTTTGATTTTCTTTAACCTGTTGGTGCATAGTCAAGGCTTATTTTCATGATTAGTGTATCATCAAAGCTAGCCATGAAGAAAAAGATCTACCCTCATATTTCATTGGTTTGTCTAAGTGTTAACTCCCTTTTGTTTTCATGGAGCTGCAGTAATTCTGCTAAGCCAGGTAGTAAAACTGGCAGACTTTCTTTTCTCCTTAATTTCTGCAAGCAGAATTGCATTCTCTGCTGTAATCCATTTGAGAATATAAACCAAAAATTTCCCAAACTCTTGACCGTTGGGTTATTTTTTATGGTTACTCTCCAGATCTGTTTTTTTTCCTATAGCATTCCCGCAGGCAAGAGTCACTTTATGTAAAACTGTACAGAAAGAAATTATAAGGAAGCATAAAATAAATTATCTATTGCCACTATCAAAAGATCATCACTGTATTCAGTATTTTCCAAATTTTCAAGAATGCAGATATATTCCCTTTACAATTAGAAAAAGAATTAAGCCAGGGTTGCCTTTGTCCTTGAAATAGTTTTATTTGGCTTCTTGTGCCCCAGAAAAACTTTCTATAAAAATCTCAATATTGTTTTTGATTATTGGACTCCTAACTCAGAGATAGTAGTGATCAAAATTATTTTGAGATGATAAGCAACTAGTTTGCTGTTATTCTCTTTGCTCAGCCTCCTGGGGGCTCTATGGATGAGCCATCTTGGCTTATACTTCAGAGTAGCATTTAAGAGAGACAATACATCTGAAGAGAGGAAAGAATTTCTTATTAAAAAAGCAAAAAAGACTTCCAGCCTAGCAAACAAAATTAAATTAGGTCATTTTGAGTTATTTTTCTTACAGTTACTCAACAAGAATAAGGGGCATGCTCTCCACTATCACAGTCTTTGTACCATTATTGACTCTATCTGCCTGAGTTTACTCCTTGTGTCTTATCTACTGCGAGGTATAAATAACCATAAAACTATACAGCCATATGGACATGTTTTACCAAATCCTGGTGTATTGACCCAGGGGTTTCTTGTTCTTGTTGTAATCTGGAAGAAATTCCCTAAGTAGAGTTTACTTTAAATTGTAAATACCTGAAATGGTTTACAGATAATCGGAATATAGTAGTCAGGGGTGCTTTGGCTTATACATGCCAGCAGCAATGTCTTCCCATTAAGAAAGAGAATAAAGATACTTGGGAGATCATTAGAGCAAAATACTCTTTTCCTGGAACATGCATTTATCACAATGATGACTCATTAATGGACTGCCACAGTGAAATGAGTTCCATTATCCCAAAATGAGTCTTTAGAAAGTTGGGGCAGGAGGTAGCCCATCTTTTCTTAACTCCCATCATCTAAAGAGATTGTAAGATCCCAGTCCCTTTACTCTATTACCTGACCCAGCTTAGCAATTATTCCCTTTCTCCTATACAATGCATTTTTTTTCATGGTTCATTGGTCATTTCCTGGAGCACCTGGGCTTGGGCATTCCTTTTAAAAGCTCATATCGTATCAGAGTGGAAATGATGTTTTATCACATGTCTAGTTGGCTTTATTTCTTTTTAGTAGTTTCAAAGCAGAAGAAAGTACGAATGGGTTAGGAAAGGTCCAGCAGCCTCTCAGAAGAGCATGTCCAATGTCTGTTCACTGGTTGCTAGGGACTTGACATATGAGACAAAGGAGATTTTTTTGAAGACTATAAATGTAAACTATACTTAATAAACAGAATGCTATTCAAGGCAATGATTTCTAATCCCTTCTAAGTTGCAATGAGTTGTCCCTGTGGTATGATTTGTGAGATCACTATCTTAAGTCATGTTCCCCCAGAAACAGACCCTCAGACAAGGATTCATAGGCAAGCGATTTATTAATCAAATGATTGCAAGAGAAACCAGTAAGGGAGTAGGAGAGACAGAACAGAGAAAGGGAATAAGTAAAGCAATGGTGCTATCTCAGGTGAGAGCTGAGTCTGAGTACTCAGCCTGATCCTGCAGGGCACTCTGCAGCACAAATTATATCCCTGAGATTTTTCTATTTTAAGGAGCTGGACTGTTGCACTCCTATACCAGTCAGCCATTTACCATGGATTCCTTGTATAGGGTCTCCAGACTTAGCAAAGGAAGATACAGGATGCCCATTTGAATTTAAGATAAACAACTTTTTGTAGTATGAGTATGTTTCATGCAATGTTTGGGGCATCCTTATACTTAAAGATTATTGATAGTTTTTCTGGAATTCAAATTTAACTGGGAGTTTTGTATTTAATCTGACAACTCTACTATGGGGGTGAGGGAAAGGGGAAAAATTCCAGGGCATTTCTAGGCCTTTAGTTCCAGTGCTAAAGGGCAAGTCTCTGAAGGTGGCAGGTGCTACCCATTAGCAGAAAAGCACTCAGAAGCTAGGGAGGGACATCCAGAGCTGGTACAAGGGATCTGAATGGGATGCCAACAATGTTCCCTGAAAAAACATAAATGAAAAATAGAACTTTGAATGTAAAATTTATTCCATTCAGTAGAAATGGGATTATTTCTATCATGCCATTGAAGAATATGGCAAGCATTTTACCACGTGACCTTGTTCGTTCTCATAGCCAACTAGGTTCTCATCTTTCCTCTCTATTCCTTCCCCCATCCCTACACCAGTTTTATCCAGTTATTCTTTTTTTTTTGAGACAGAGTCTCACTCTCTTGCCTGGGGTGAGTGCCGTGGCGTCACCTAGCTCACAGCAACCTCAAACTCCTGGGCTCAAGCGATCCTCCTGCCTCAGCCTCACGAGTAGCTGGGACTACAGGCACATGCCACCATGCCTGGCTAATTTTTTTCTATATATTTTTAGCTGTCCGATTAATTTCTTTCTATTTTTGGTAGAGACGGGGTCT